AAAATAGTGTTCTCGACTATAATATCGCGCTCAACGTACTAATTTTTATTGACCTTATGGCTACATTATTGATCATATTTGTAATAACCACTGTGAATCAGCATTATTTGACGTAGGGGTTGAGACCGTTATATTTAAATTTGTAAACTGTGTAAATTGGTGCACGGTTACGTGTGCCAGGTTCGCTAGTTTTTATTATTTATAAAACATATTTTAGTAATACCAACCAGCTTAAATTGCTTACAACAATTAATAACAAAACTTCAATGCTCTATCAATGAATTTGTACATTGCGAACACTATGTTTTCAGTTAAAGATGTATTACAGCAGTTCTAATTACATTAACCTATATGTTTTGGACTAAAAACCTTTAGTGAAATACCAGCTTTCGTTTGAGCTATTCATTATTTACCTAAAGCACACTGCTGACTCACGATTCAACAATAATTATAATCGTTTTAATACTTATCTGCAATCAATGATACGTAAATCAACATTTATTTCATTTTTATTTGTATTTTATTCCATTTATTTTGCTAGGTTAAACAGTAATATCACGAATTTAAGGATACACATTGCAAAGGAGTTTTTTCCCGAATTATTTTACTTCCGTGTTTTTTATTGTGAAGTGTCACACAGTTTAATGAAAGTCCATCCTAGTGAATGAGTAGCTGGTGTATTATTGAACTGTTGAACATTGACAGGTTTAATTATTAAGACACCAAGAGTTTGAGATATCAATCTTTGGTGGGATTCCTGTATTGTGTTTGGTGATTTCAGATAAACTGTGCCTAATTTACAATGAAAAAATGCATCGCATTTAGTAAAACAACAGCAAACATAAGAGCTAGTAATTCTTAAATTAAATTTACCAATTGAAAAAACAACTACTTAGAGATGGAGAACATTATCTCTGGTCTTGATCTACTGAAATACGAGTTAAAGGATTGAATATCGATTTTATTTATAAAAAAAAAATAAGCGAAATAATTCATGATAAAATTGTTGTTGATTGTGTGAGTCTAACAGTAGAGGACGAAGATTATCTCAACTTGAACATAGTGCGTAGTATCTATGAGCAGAGGACTTGAAAAATTATATTTAAGTTTTGATATAATATCATACGATAATCAGGAAAAGAACCTGTATCCAAGAGAATAGTAAAAAGCTCACGCGCGCGCACTGTTTTAAGTATGTTGTGTACATTTGCGACTTTTCGGGTGCTTCATATTTGGCGCCAGAATGTGCCTTGTTGACCTTCATTATTTTTTTCTCACGCCCGTCCATAACGGATTTATAGTACATCCGCTTGACTAGTTACTGATATTTTAATTCACTCCACAAAATTCTGCCTTAGTACAGTATTTTGTTAACTCTAGACTTCTTTGATTCCTAACAGGACCAAACAGGTGAACAGGACAGTTAGGTGATAGGTCATACTGTCAATATACCTGATTATATAAAAGTAATATCGATAAATAAAATAAACTACAAATGTCATGTTTTATTTCCTGAACCACGAATAGGCAATAACAATACATTAAGAATAAGATAACAGCTGGCTGGAGTGTATGTAATGTATGTAACGCAACTGCAGGTTTGCTGCGGCGGGGGTATTTTCATTTTAAAACATATGTTTACGAAGTCTACAAAATTATTTTACTTTGTTTACATGTCTTCATATTTCAAGCGTATTATTGTGTTGAAGGAATGTTTAACAATCAATAGCCACTTTCACTAATTAATTATGGATTCAATATTAAATGGAAAACTCCTGCTTTGTTTTTATTTCAAAAACATTATAATGAGATGATATATTCTAAACGTTTCTGTTACACAAAATACAGTTAAAATACAGTTAAAATACAAAATACAGTTGAAGCATAGACATGAACATTTGACGCTTACTTTAGTGTTTAATCAATATTTTGTTTAAAGTGGAATGACCTCAACGGCTACTCTGGAACTAACCTGAGAATTAAACTAAAAAAGTTCGTAGAGACAATATATTTTTTCACTAAAGCAATTACTATGACAAGTTCCAGTGAGCGGGATTTATTAATTTTGTTTGGAGAAGGTTTTAACTAGGTACATTCTGTTTCAAAAAGGAAAAGGGGTTAAGATCATATAGACTAGCATGCATAGTATGAATAAAGTACAGGGCAAAACCTATAACAATAATATTTTGAGGTAGTTTCCTTTTCTTTATATGCATGTCAATGCTGGAGAAACGTAATTTCGTGATTGGTTTCGACAAATGGGTAATCAAACCCTAACCATGCACTGCAGTGGCAAAAATGTTAGTCGTGAGCCGTTGATTAGCTTTTTCAAATATAGATGAATATAAACTCGTTAAATGTTTTAAAATAAAATTATAATATATCAATTGAATATAACATGTAATACTATCTAACAACTAAATGGCTAAAGAGGATGAAGAAACAAATAAATAGGTATTGTAATGTGGTCTCAACCATGGTCTCAACTATGAACCCGCTGAACGTTTTAAATAGGCCTATTTCGATAGAATGTAAAGTCAATCGCACTTTTAGCAGGAATTCCACCACATAAACTTAGAATAAGAGTAGTTTCTATTTTTGTTTCTATTATTTGGACCAGAACCAAATCTAGGGTAAAGTTTAGTCAAAGGGATGCATTTACACTAATTTAGTTTACCTTAACGAAAGGAGAATAAAAGTAGAAATAATAACTGGGCCAGGTCGCTAATTCAGTGGGTTTTACCAAGAACTTAAATTATCTCCACATTTCACGAAGACAATTTCCGAAATTACAATCGGGAAAGCATTTATATCAAAAAATTTTGTTAACTATAGACTACCGGTAAGCATTAAAATGCACAAACATACGCCTGTAAATTAAGTTACCATTCTTCGTAATGTAATGACATATTTGATGTAATATAATGATGATTAAATGCTAGAAACTCAGTTTCTATATCCCGCAAACTGATGCTGAGCCGGCCAAACTCCTAGCGCCAATGCCGCGCCAAGCGATTTTAGGCCTATTTTTAATCGCTTAAAAATGATACAAGCAGGCTCCGTATCAAAAAAAGCTTCAAATAAAAAATAAAATTCATTCTTTGATCTAAAACTTTGCAGCAGGATTTTTTTTCCTGACCAAAAAATAAAAAAGTTCCTCGCTTACTACATTTTTCATGTTTTTTATGGTGTTAAAAAACAATCATCTGTTTTAATTTGCCTAAATAAATTATAACAATTATGTTAAGGTAAAAACTAGCTACATAGTAATGAGCACTGGTTTTTCCAGAAAAATAATATATCAATTTGAAATTTTTATGTTAACAAATAAGTGCAGCAGAGCAGGTTGAGTGAATGTATGTTTGTGTAAAACAGAGAGGTTCATTCGGCCCGTCCGCCTCGGTATCCCGATTGACTTATGGCAGAGACTGTACCGTTGGAGCTTATGAAACTTGGAGGTTATGAACCGCTCTGTTTATTTGATATTTAAAAGTTGGAGTTTGTGAAATTTGGACATTGTGAATCGGTGATTATTTGAAAATTATAGTTTTGGATTTTATGAAATTTGGAGGTTATGAAACGCACTGTTTATTTAATATATTATCGTTGGAGTTTGTGAAATTTGGACATTGTGAAACTGTGCTTATTTGGAAGTTATAGTTTTGGAGTTTATGAAGTTTGGAGGTTATGAAACGCACTGTTTATTTAATATTTTAGACGTTGGAGTTTGTGAAATTTGGACATTATGAACCTCACCCGATTAGAGCTGTTATTTTAATGTAAAGCATGTAAAAGTTTAATTAATGGAACTAAAGTATAGTGAGTGAGTGGTGCGGATTTGAACCAGGGACCCACCACATGAGAAGCGAAATCTCTACCTCTGAGCTAAGCGCATAGTATTATATGCCATGTTTTACTATACTTGAAAACCTACTTTTCCATTGCTTGTAACGGCGTTGCAATTATTTGTTACATCAATAAACGTTTAGGCTTATTATTATTCATGGTTTGTAGACTCAAAATTAGAATATCACAGGATGGTTTTTAACCCAAATGTTCTTATGCATTCGAATATTTGAAAACATAGGTTAGGGTACTTGAAAACGTTTTTAACAAAATGTCCTTAGACGATTTAATTAAATTCAAAATTTGAGCCTTCTTTTCTTTACTCATAGCTAGCTTAATTTTATATGTCAGAATAAAACAAAAACTATACAAATCACAGCGAATGCGGCAGCAACAGATCAATTTCCACCCAACTGTTGAGCGCCGCAACTAGGCCTACAACCGGCTACTACAATCACCGTGTTGATTGCAGCGACGCGACGCCGCGCCGCGCCGGCGCGTCGGCGGGGTCATTGATGAACATAAGTAATAGCGTTTTGATAAATAATATGTGATTGTTTTACTTATGTGTCTATATAGTTATTAATTCAAAGAAAACACTACGTTTCTACAACTATTTACTTTTTGTATCAAATGAAAACAAAATTTAAACCCTTTATAAAGCGCCAGAAAACCCGTGATTGAGGTTAGAAATTTGTTTTGAAAGTTTACCTTGTAAAGTTGGTCACATGACTAGTATTTTTGGTCACGTGACTAGTAAAATACACTAGTATTTACTAGCGGTATAAAAACGTTTATGAAACACAAATTAGTAGGACAGGTAAATACGGGACTAGTATTTACTAGACTAGTAATTACTAGACTAGTATTTTTATGAAACAGGGCCCTGGTGTCGAGAAGTTAAGTTAGCCCACTTTGTAATGTACGTAAAAAGTAATAATTTAATATGTCTCATTTCTCATTACCCCTCATTGAGGCTCAGTTCCACAGATATATATATATGATGAAAATAAAAAAACTATCAATGCTAGGACAATCCAGACACACCTTAACTTCACAAAGAAACTTCCGTCAGAATATATCATACATTGACAAAAACCGAACTATTATTATAGCAAGCTTTAAAATGTAACATTGAAACAATGTGTTATTACCTGTGGCAGGCTCGATGACGGTAACATGCATGTCGGACATTTGAGAACTATCATCTTCCCCCCCTTCGATAAGCTCGCCTTCTGCGTTGAACCTCAACTTCTTCTTCTGTAACGTGAAATTCAAATCAATACGTTTTGTTATAGTACAACTGATATTGTAAGTTAATGAAATGAAAAATACACTACTTCGACGTTCCTCACGGGGAATGTGTCTACGAACTACAGCAATAGCCTGTTTTTGCCATCTGCTGAGGTACAACTGATAATGTTTAGGTATAACTTAAATCAACAGTTTTGTTTTTTACAATTTCTAATTCGCACCAGCTGAGTTAATACATTGTTTTGTCAGAATATTTCTCGAGTGTAAAAAATTTATTTGTGCTCGAAACCACAGTCAAAGCAGGTCTTTGATTATTGTTTAACGTCTGTTTGCCAAACAAGATCAGAAAAAATAGTTTTGGAAAGCAGAAATGAACCCAGGACAAACTAACAGTAGAAAATATGGATGGATACACTTTAAGAGAGGGACAGAACAAAACTAACCGCCAATCTCTGCTTTTCATTCTCTGCCTGTAAAGAAGCAGGAAATGGCGAAGACTAAAAGTGACAAGAAAGAGACCAACGAAGAAAGAACTGCTTGACCTAAGGAAAGAAGCATATAACCTAAAAACCTATGCAGTGGAGAGCAATTATAGCATCTGTACCTCTTTCGAGATGAAGGAAATAGGAAGTAGAGACAATTACCTTCTTCTTCTTTTTCATCTCCTCGTCCTGTTTCCTCTTCTGCTCCATCTTGTGCTGTTTCACCATCTCCGTGAGGTTGCTGATGTACTCGTCTGTCTGTGACAACAGGAATGCCAACCGCTTGTCTTTCTTTTGATCGATAAGTTTCCTGTACGAGAAAAAATCAATTTACTAATGACTAAATATGTTACTATTATATGCATGCAAAATTATAACATAATTTGTAACAAATTGCATCAAGATTTTAGCAATAAAAACATGTTATTTAGTTAACAAAGACAAATTGTATTTTTTAGGCGCAGGAATGAGGTAGCAAATGAACTACTGAATATTTTATTGTATCCTCTAAAATAAATTGATTTTCAAAATTCCAGTTCAGGTCTTTAAGTAAAATTGTATAATTTGAAAACCCAGATTTAAGGGTAAAATAGTTTTCTAATTAGTTCACAAAGAAGTTAGTTGATTTTACATATTTTGTCTTCTCCGACTGTCTACAGCAAGAAAAACACATTGGAAAGAGAAAATGTATGAACTCGAACTGTGAACAATGAAATAACATAACTAATAAATCTTACACAAATATTACAGGACTGCGTCTGAAATAATATGCAATATTATTCACCTGTATCCCTCTTCGTCCTCCGCCATAAGTCTTCTCATTCTCTCCTTCTCTATTCGCTCCTGTTCCTTCTTCTGCTCTCTCTCCGCGTTGGCGTGGTGGTTCATGATGGCCTTGTTGATACGGCCCACCTTGGCCAGATTATTACGATGGTACTCCTTAAAGTCTTTGCAGTGTTGGAGGATGGTGCTCAAATATTCCTGTGAATTAAACGTATATTCTCAGCTGAATATCCAACTCTTCTACTTTAAATCTTATAATACTTCAAAAAGTGGTACGAGACTAAGAATAAGCATAATGATTAATTGACACAAAAGTTGTTTCGTGGTGATAAAAGCTTAATAGAAACAAACACTATTCCAGCAACTGAATCATACACTGAGAAAACCTACTACCATTATTCACTAAGCATCTTTTAAGAAAAATATCTCTATTCTAGTTATCCAGGAATTTAAATGCTTGAATTAAAGCAATTTTATAAAATGCAATACAGAATCTTCTATTAGCACCTATTCTCACTTTTGGAAGTAGTTTATAATATTTATAAATTGATTCTTTGGACCAATTTATCAAGAATTGCAGCTACATAGTAATCAACTTCCGCAAATTTAGTTCCACTATTTTGTTTCTCTTCAAAAAACGCACGAGTGATGTAGCTAACATACCAAAAAAAAATCTCAAATTCAAATTTTTCAAACTTGGAAAAATAACCGTGCCATATTTTACAAACCACACTGTAGTAATCTTACCTGATGTTTCTGTCGACGCTTCCGCTCCGCCTCTAGTTTCTGTTGTTTCTCCAGTTTCTCGGTGGCCCGAGCCTCGCGCAGGCCTTGCCGTTTGGTCCGCTTGTACGCCTTCACATTCACGGCTGTCTCCAGTGTCGTGTCTCGGCGAGTACACCCGATCACCTGACACAACAAATGTATTAGAACAATTATGAGGTCTGGTATAAAACAATCACCGAAAATAGTTTAGCAACCACACAATGTAAATATGAGAGGGATGTTACAAGAAGCAGAGGACTTGGTAAGGTAAACCGGATATAATAAACACACGCCTACCTCGGCTCGTAGCTGCCGCTGGAAGTTGAGCACCCGGAGAGCTCTCAGTTCTATCTGAGCCTTCACTCGCAGATCCTCGGACATTGTGGTGGGAAGGTTGGACAACTCGTCAATACGATGTGCAATCCTAGCGGCCACCCTGTTAGACAACAACCCAAGTTGTATTAGAAATTTACACTTCCTTCTACAATTAAGTAAATTCAGTATTAGGCCTGAAGAAAGCTCTCTCTTCCTTGGTTTAAAATAATGCCAGTGACAGTGAAATATACTAATTTTTGTGTAAAGTGTAAAGTTTTGCGTTTCTTGTGCCAGTTTGGACCTTTCCCAATCAGGTAAACCTGCTACCCTTACTAAAAATCTTTAACCTAGGACCTTGTTCTCCATGTTACTTCCTTAACCTCAAACTGAAACCATTACCGTATATTAAATAAAAACTTTTAGTAATCGCCTTTAGAATCAGTAGCCAATTCAATGTCTTAAAGCATTTTTGCTTAAAAAAGTAGTTTTAAAAATGAACCCTACACTTTTACGAGCCTTAAGCTTCCAAAAATAATTGGTTGCAGTTTCATCCATCTAGCTCTTTTTTCCATTGATAGTTGTTTGTGTAGTCTAATAAGTTGTACTTTGTTGCATTCGAGAGAACATTTATATCTTTGGCTTATTTTTTAGATAGACCGAACTCTATTGATTTTAAAAATACTCTAACCACTTGGCTTTCCACTGAAACAACAACTTAAAACATAAGAGTAAATTTTCTGGCAGTTTTAAACTTGTTAACGCACACACTAGGTAAACCGGTTCACACATGCAGACACATTATCATCTTATATCTCACCTGTTTTCCCTCTCCTGCAGTATCAGCAGAGGGTCCAGCCCGAGAGGTCTCGGCACAGACGTGATCCTGTTCTGCTTCTGCTGAGCCTGACAGCTCTGAGACAGCAACTGCTGGTTGTTGGGTGGTCCGGGGGGCCTGACTGCGCCTGGGGGCCCTGACATCATGGGGGCCCCTGGAGCTACAGGGCCCGGCTGCCGAGGCACGGGTGGGGCCCCTTGCTGTGGTGGTACTGGTGGGGCCATCTGAGCAGTCATGGGTGACTGTGTGGGTGGCTGACCGCCTGGCGGGCCCGGGGGTCTCATGGGGTGCTGCATCATCCCCCCACCAGCACCCGCCTCCCCTCCTTCTAATGGGGACAGGTGAACATTCGTATTCAAAAATATATCTGCTCCAAATATGCCAATTAGACATGGTTCTCGCTACTAAAATTCTAAGAAACTGACTTCACCATGTCAAATTAAATTCAGCAATATACAAATTTGTTGTTTGAAGAAATGTGTTTCAGTGTCGGTGAGTATTTATTGTATTGTATTGTGTATTGTTTATTTTTTTTTGTAATTGTTTTAAGCTGAACTCATACTTTACCAACTTATTGTTTATTAGTATTGTTCACTGTTTTTTAAACATGCAGATTTAGCTATTGCCTTTGACTTTTGATAGAAACAGACATTTCATCTTCATTTTTCACCAGTTTTAGAATCATAATTGAGCCACTGACTGTTTTCGCTGATATAACCTACTGACTTCTTCACATCAACCTTATAACCGAGTCAAAATTATAGGACGACTCATTGTATGTAAGCTATAGCATATTCAATATCAATTATCTCAGTAAAAAAAAATATAAAGGAGAAATAGAATTCCAAAACTGTTAGGTACTTTTAAGTGGCTCATTAAACTATGATAATTTTTCAAACAAAAACAGCCTCTGCTGGTCCATATAGATGGGATGTGGAACACTTCAGTATACAAAAGTCAATGTAACAGCTTAGTCACTGAACATCAAAAATGTCCATTGTATTTTGTACCTACTTTATGACAAATAAATCTAATAAATTGGCAGAACCAAAACCAAATTTAAAAAAATGTTTAAAAAGAATGGCCAACTAACCAGGCTCTTGTTGCGCCGGCCTGTTCTGTGGAGGGTACGGCGGTGTGGCCGGTGGTGGTTCTATCCTCTTGCCCTGCACAGCGAGCGCCAGTTGCTGAGACAGTGGCTGGTTGCGCGCCAGCAGCCGGTACGCCATGATCTGCACCCGTAGTTGCTGCAGCTGGTTGGAGCTGAAGCTGTGTTTCCCCTGCTGGCCACCGTCCGGCTGAGCGGCGCCACCAGCCCCTCCCGGCGCAGAGCTGTTTGCCGGGAACCCTTGCTGCTAAAAGACAATTTATCTTACAAAACTTCTTGTTATATGTAATCAAAATCTCTAGGAAAAGTATGTTCAAGCAGAGATATAAAGTAGAACATAGGTTTCTATTCACATTCTTTAACTGTTGGTGGTCCTTAATTATCCATAATAATCTTTCAATAACTAAATATTTTTCTCCATTATATTTTTAAAAAACAGTTGGCTTTTTCTCTAAGTCTTATGGCTAATGCCCCTGGCCCATGCAACAGGACTAGGGTAGGCCCTAAACATAAACAAGGTATACATTTATCGTGGATTTTTGTGTGGATAGTAGTTCACTTTCGGACATAAACCACCAAAGTTTTACACTATTCCCACAAATTTAAATACTTCTCTGTCACTGCTCATTTTCAACCAACTGTAAAAAAAGTGATGGTTAATCTTTACAACTCAAACCTTCCTTGACTGAAAATTTTGTCAATGACAGTGACATATTATAACTTTTGTGTACAGTATAAAGTTTTGTAAGTCCAAGAGGACTCTTTCGCATTCAGGTAAGCCTGCTATCCCAAAAATCTAAGTTAGGTTAAAAGTTTAAATTATTCAATGACTATCCCAGTGCTGTTGCAAGGAAACATGGGATCTAGGCAAAAACTATGATAAAAAGTTAATTTTTTTTTAAATAGAGTTGAGGGAAATCTTTGGCTCAACCCCAAATCAGGCTGGGGGATTAAGAACCAAGAGTTTCAAGGACGTACGTACAAACCCAGAAACTTTTGTATAGGCTGAAACACTTGGACTTAGATGGATAGAAAATGTGCATGGAAGGAAGAAGTTTAACGTTGAATAATCAAGATTATCAACCTGGAAAACCAGGAAGGAAGGAAGATCACTAAGCAGGATAAGAATAGAAGGACCAAGTTTAAAATGACACTACAGTAATATACTTGGTACTTAACTTAAAACGACACAAGACAAAAAAAGAGATGCATTTTTGGTGAGACAAACCCCTAAACATTAAGGGTTAGGAAGTATGGTAAAGTAATCCATCAAAAAATAATAGGACAATCAACAATAATTTGACATATAATCAGCATAAAATTTTCACATATCTTAAGTAAAACCACTAATTTATATGTTTGGTGAACAGCTAAATATTTATCTAACAAGTTAAATTTATAATTGTGGTAGCATTTTGATCTACAAACTTAAAAAAAATTTCTTTTCATTTTTAGAGGCAAGATAACAAACAAATATTAAATCCAATCTAAATGACAACACCACAAATCCAATCTTTGACAAAAAATAAACAACAATAGAAAGGATTTAAGTTTTTGTGGCCTTGGCACCAGCCAACCCCTTTTTAGAAGAACAAAGTCTTCCATAAATCTTCCAACTGATCCTAATCTGTCCTTTCTTTTTTGTGCCTAAAGAAACTTTCCACTAACCATTCAGTGCAGTAATATCTTAGACTAGAAAACACAACTAAGTGGTTAAGAGATTCCGACCAATTTGAGAACCATTCATTGAAAGATTAACCAACTTAAAAAATTCTCTGTTGTAACAAACTTACAGACAAAACAAATGTTCAATCCTTTTCTAGGTTCAAAACATGAGTAGATTTATATTTAGATTAAATGGTAGAAATAGGAACAAATTGTTTAACTTTTCTTATAAATTTACAATTTTAAATTGAACTCAATTTGTTCAAACTAAGGCATACATATTAAATAATAAAAAAAAATTGATCATTATTATTTTTTTTTTTTTAAGAGGTTGGTGGCCTCTTTTAACCTTGCATTTGCCCGTCCACATAGACTACAGATCTGTGCGTGGAACGTATCCAGCAAAGCAAGGGGTGAGCCGGTACAGTACAAAGGTGAACTGTACTGATAAAAGTTAGTGGCAGTGACCAGGATCCGAACCCACGACACTTCTGCCTTGGGCCCCAAGTCCGCGACGCTACCGACTGAGCCACTGACTCACCAACCTCCTTCCTTCCTTTAACAATGTATAAGTTAAGTTAGAAGTCACCAACCTGGGCAGGGGGTCCACTAGCAGGGGCAGGTCCAGCGGGGCCCGGGGGTCCACTGGCGGGGGCCTGTCGAGCCCTCAGTGCCAACAACTGAGAGTAGCGGGGGTCTTCTTGCAACCCCTTCTCCTCCATGGAATCAATGGCTCGTTGGAGAGCCGTCAAATTTTCCTGAGGCGTTCCAGCCTGAAAAATGTACATCTTGAATAAATGTGTATCATCAATAAAATTTAACTAAATTTGTAACCAATTATTCATTTATAAATTTGGTATTGTGATGTAAAACAACTCAATTCTATCACTCCATTAAATTGATCCATCTGAGTTTGGGTCCATCTATCTAATAACATCAATTAAAATATCAATTAGATCTTGTATACAATAAATCCATTCTGAGAATTAATCCATCCAATTGATCCATCAAAGCTTGAATCTGAGAAATCCATTCAAACTGTGTGTTTGATTAATCTAGGCCTATAAGAGTTTGGATGCAACTAATCTTTTATATACAATCCGTCCAATTAATACTTTAGTTTTATTCAATTACTCGTTCCATCCAAATAATAACTAGAATAACAATTAATGTATGCCCCTTTGCCTGCTCAAGACTTAGAATCCAAAAAATCCATCTACTTAATCCAATAAATCTAATCCAATGAAATATGTACAATACAGTTTGATATTTAATGTCGGAGGTAAGTATAAATATTTGTTCAATACACTACTGAAAAGAAATTAATAACTAAACCAGAGAACCCATGCTGCTCCGCAGTGTTAAATTAAATATCATATCTGAGAAATAATCGAATTTATGATCTTTGATTGAGTAATGCAGTATCTTGGACTTAACTGATTAAAACAATCAATAGCTGAAATTAAAGCCTTTTAATTTACTGATTATTTTGAGTGTAAGCACATAAAAAACATAAACAATACTGGAGTTATTGATTTTAAATCATATAAACACCTTATACAAAATAATTTTTGGTTTGTTGTTCACCTTGCCATTGCTTGAGCCATTTGAATAACTAATAGCATAAATGAAATCCAGTATTTCACTGAAGGTTCTTAAAACAAAATATATAGGATTATATAATTATAACTGGTGATATACGTCTTATATTAAAGTAAGAATTCAAAAATAAGTCAAATTTATGTTTTTTGATTGAGTAATACAGTAGATGAATATATGCCGATGCTTGATGTGAAATCTGTGCGTGCAAGCCGTGCATACCTTCAATTTGAGACCTCAATCATGAAAATCGGTCGGGTAGAAGAGCCAAACGAACTCGGGAAAGAAAAACCATTTTTTTTAAATACAGCCTATAAGGTATTGTTTGGAACTATTTTTGTAAACAAAAGTATTGTAAATTTAATGATAACTCAAGTTTACTATGATATAAATTATTTGTAAACACAAACAGTTTAAGTATCAGGGGCAGACCTGTTTGTTTACCTAGTTGAAACTGCCCGAGGGTGGTAACAATACACAACATGGTGTATCAAGACACCTGGAATTTTTCCACAGCATTACTCTTGATAGCATTTAAACAATTCGCTTTCCCACTAAAGTTATGACCTGCTTTCAAAGCTTGTTATAAAAGAATTTGCATTTTTATCATTATAAGACATATGCATGGTTAAATCACTGAATAATCAATGAAGTTTTATTATCAAAAGGGTTTACGTAGTATCTTTGACTATTAGAGCAAGACATTCCATCCCCGTGTTAAATAAAGTTGTCGCAAATTTTTAAACCAAAATGGGCATAGTTCAATTGATTCGACAGTGTGTTGGTTTAAATTAACAATTTTGTTACATTTCATCAAATTTTGAATAAAGCTGTCCCCAGTTTTTTTTTCAAAATGGAGGAAGGGTTTGGGCACTGCAGATTATGCTGATTAAGATTACTGATTTCTGTTGAATACGCTTATATAAAAATAAAATATCTTTAAGATATATTAAAAAAAAAAAAATAGACTACAGCTGGTTTATGGGATGTATATTTAGTATCCAAAGGTCAATTGTATATTTTCTTTTGTTTTCACAATGAACCCTGTTTTTATAAATTGTGCTATTATTAGTAAGCATACATGTGAGTGACAACATATTTATTCAAAATCCAAGCAAAACATAGATACTATTAGAGGGGTGACTTGACCTTGAACTGTGACTGTTTGTAAACAGTCCCAGGGAGGTTTCCACTGGCCCAGACTAGGGCTTGATGAGTTTTCTGAATACCAAGCAAAATATTTGCTTCACATCTCGGCCGTCTCGTGAAACCTTCCGCTAACTAATTGCAGATAATGACAATCTGAGATTCATTCACGTGAACAGCTCGTGGACTGGAATGTTTTCGGAAGCTAATGTGTGTCTTTCAATAGATTTATGTTTGTAACAAATATTAGACTATTTCAATATAATTCAATATATTAATATAATTCAAAATATAATAATTTTTGTGCTTAATCAGACTGGGATCAACCGGCTTCAAACTAATACTACTTGAGTATAAACAAACTAATTGAGTAATAATTGGTTAGAAGTTTACCAACACTGCCAACTAAAAGTGCTAAGGTTAAAAAAATTATAATAACAACAGTACATGGTAAAGTTATATTTTTAAGTTACTAAAATAGCTTTTTTATTAGCATTGTACAGATCTAACGTACAAAAAATTAATAGTTTCCCATCACTACTCAAAATATTTACATTTACATTGTGCATTTAATAGAAGAAGTGTTAGAAATGATATTATAATGGCTATTACAGATTTCATCCAGATTCACCGGTCATCACCGATTCAGGGATTGAGATTCAGGGTCAATTTTAACTCAAATGATCAAAATGGCATATTTGCATAAATACTATGTACTGCCCATACAAAAAATACTATGTAAAGGCCTACGACGCCCAAGCATAAATACTTTAGATAAAATACACAGGTATAACTATTTTATTTGATCTTAGGTAAGTTTTTAATTGCGGTTATCGAGTAATAATGACATTTGCCACTTAAGCTCATTCATCCATTCAAAATACGTACTTTTAGTTACATCCCAGTCTCATTATAAGGGATGATGTATTGCAATGGTTAACAAAATAATAAAAGTAGGCTACATACAAAAATTACATATCTTTTCATTAATACTAAAAAATAAAATAGAAAACGTTTCCACAGTTGTACTACCGTGAGCAACTATATGATGACGTTTTGGTAACACCTTTTTCATTAATCTTCATTAACGTAACTTCAAAATAAGTCAATTTCTAAACAAAATACTAGTTGTGCATGGATTTAACTCAGTTTAAGACCATTTTTCATTCAAAGTTTTTCAAAAGGTGAAGTATTTTTTTTTTAATTTGACTATAACTAATCAAATATTTATGAAAAAAGTATGTCTATTTATTTTGTTATTTTAATTTTGTGCCAGCCCGGAATCATTTTCTACATTACTTCTCACAACAAGTCTAGAGGGGGTCGCTGCATTATCACTTAGATAAAATCCATTGGTATTTGGCGGGAATTGATCATGGGACCTTGGGGACAGAAGTCCTACACTTTAACACTAATCCAGCTCCCTATCGTCCTACATAAGTCATTGTCTCATACAAACTTGTTGATAATTTCAAACTGTTGAAATTTAAATTATATGCATATTGATAAAAATAAAGGCTAGAGTTAGTTAATAGATAGTTCCACATATAGTCCCAGTTTAGATTATTGTGAATCTATATGAGTCATAATTTTGTCATTTATAAAAGTGCAGTTTTTTTCTAAATATGTGAGACTGTTTCAAATAATTAATATTTTTATCTTCAGGATCTAATAGGATTAAAACCTCTAATTTTTACATAGAGTGAGTAGTTATTGAAATAATACATTGAACCAATATGAAATAAATTGTATATAAAACTCAACATTAAATTTGATTGATAATTATTCTGAGATTTTTGTGCCCAATCCATACCAAAAGAAAACTAGTTAATAGACCATTTAAGTTGGAAAGCAAACATGTTTAAATGCACTAAAATAGAATTGTAACAACAGAGAATTTAGATAAAATACTTACACTTACAAAATCCATTAATTAAGCAACCACTTTACACTAATTCCACTAATCCCTGCAGCAAAGTGCACAAACAATTTGCATTACAAAAAATAATTTTTTTTCAACTGCAAAACAATCAAATATAGGCTTGCAGTGAGCACCTGAGTATCATGTGTTCTCCCAGTGGAAGGAAGAGTGGGGGAGGGGGGGGAGTGGCCTAAACATATATATGGGGGGAGAGAGAAAGAAGAGTCAGTCCATTACAGACAGCACAATGGCACCAGCGCAGCAGGAAGATGTTATTGGCAACTATTACAATGTGATTCTTCAATTGGTCAAGAATGCCGGAAAGGTAATAATCATTACATATTATTTTTGGCAAATAATTTAACTGATTGTATGCATAATTGTTGGATAGGTAATATCATCAAAACAAAATTATTTATGCAAAGTAATTTGCAAAAGTAATTATTTAGAACAGTTTGTAATTTTGTTTTTACCTAATAACATGGCTGAAATTGAAATTGAAACCACTTTTTTCTACTTGAAAATTATATTATTATTTCTAAATTGTAATTTTAAATTATTGAAGTGTCGGTTAACAATTTGTGCAATTGGTCAAGTGGTGAGAGGCGGAATTATGTCCTTCTTAGGTTTGAATATTACCCAACATTAATGTTAAAACGCTGTCTGAAAAAACTCACTTTAATACAATTCAAAGGACATTTTGTTAAAACACTGCAACCCAACCTAACAAGCAGCGTTAAAGCAAATAACACTGTTTTCTGGAACTAACAAGAGAACAAAAGTGTGACACATTCAATCGAGTTACGCAAAATCTACACCGTCAATTGAGACAAAGCATTACACAACACACAAATGCACATTTGCCTAATGTGTATTTGCAGAGTGGGCAAAGTTAAATCCTCTCTTCCATAGCATTTATATTATTAATTTAAATTGTACTTTGTCTTTTATTTAAAAAATGAATCAAACCTAATAAGTTATTAGTGAGTTTAAAAAAATGAACAAACCAACCATAAGCAAACATGATACTAACATAATGCATCGTTTATAAATAAAACGTATCACATTTTCATTGTTATTTAACACTTCAATTGATGAAACAAACTA